TATATACACCTCTCTGCATTTAGTTATTAGTTATTGTTAATCTCTGGCTTTCTTCGTGTCTTTTGTCCTGTCTTCCTCCCCCCTCACACCAGCAGATGGCCCTGCCCCTCCCTGAGCCTGGTTCTGGTGGAGGTTTCTTCCTGTTAAAAGGGAGTTTTTCCTTCCCACTGTCACCAAAGCACTTGCTCATATCACTTAGTCATGATTGTTTGGGTTTTCTCTGTTGTATTATTGTAGGGTCTACCTTACAAATATCGGATTGCATTGTTATAATTAAAATTAGGAATTCAAATAGAAAAAGAGCTAACTTAACATTATAGCTAGGTTTCATTTGACGTAGACGTGACGTCGACGTAAAGCGCGAAATTTGACTGGCGGTCGGAAGTGAAAAAGATAAGCGCAAAATCACAGACAGACAGTACGCAAAATGCCTATGTCCTGTTGTGTTTACGGATGCTCCAGTAGGTCGACCCGAGAAACTGATAAACGGTATTTTAGGGTACCAAAAATAGCCCAACGAAGAGGAGAAAAATGGAAAATTCTAACCGAAAAACGTAGGAAAAATGGATTTTAAATTTACGTTTACAGTCGGGAGGAGCAGAGTCTGCCAATGCCCGTGTCTGCAGCGACCACTTCGTCAGAGGTAATGTTATGTTTGCAAACGAACTTATTAGCATTAGGTTGTCGTTAAATTCTCGTTTACTTAGTGCTTTTAAGTTAGTAGTCTAATATTGACTTGATTGGGACTATAGGCTGCCCAAGTGCTTTGGATGACGAAGAGTCGGAGGACTGGGCTCCGACGGTCAATCTCGGCTACGAACGAAAACCCAGATCGGAATCAGTTCTCAAACGAGAGAAAAGAATGAAGCTTAAGGCAGAACAGCATCGATGTGCAGAGGCGATTTTGGATATGCAACAGACGGCTGAGAGCCCGGATTTGAGCCTAGTGACAGTGGAGAACCCCGAACTGCAGCTTCCAGCTGAGAATCCACAACCTCCTTTGCAAATCCAATCCTCCTTTGCAATTACCCAAGTCTTCAGAGGTGTCTCGTTAGACCTCTGAGAATGGTTTACCTTGAAACAAACAACTGTCACTCTAACGAAGTCCTAAGGATGTGGCATGTTTGTTGACGTTAAAGCCGCTACCGCTAACTGTTAGCGTGTTTAAGATAAAGCAATATAAGAACAAACACTCACCCTTGCAAACACCAAACTGTATCCATCACGGAGACGTTTTGTTCCAAGGTTGTGGACCCACCCGCTGACAAAAAAATTGTACGCCTCCAGACTCTTGAAAGCTTTCATTTGCTGCCTAGTGTAGTAAGAAGTCTGGAGGACCAAGTAGTTGGTGATATCCACAGCCTCGATAGTAGGCAAATCCTTTACTTCTGTGGTGTATTCGGACATTTTCAAAGAATACGGATCACGTCCGATATATTTTTTAACTATCTGTTTATATCTCTCCCGAGAAACGGGGTCTAAAGTTGCACAATAGCTGCTCTCCTGACTCTCCACAGTGTCCTCCATGTTTACTTCCGCCCTCCACTCAAAAATCGCGCTGCCTCCGCACGTCATCAGAACCACGTGACCGCAACCCAACTATTGAAACAATATTTGGTGTGACCACATTTTTCGTTTAAAATAGCCTGAACTGTCTTTTGCAGGCTTTCTTGTAATTTCTTTAAGTAGTTTTAAGGTAGTTCCTCTGGCTTCTTGAAGAACATTCAAAGCTCTTCCTTGTGTTAGTCTTGACATCTGGTAGAGAGATAGTGAATCAGGTTTGGCTTTAAACAGTCTGGACCACACTGAAGTTCCTTCTGACATCAAATTGACTCCAGAATTGAAAAATGTCAGATAAACATGAAGAGCAGCAAGAAACTCCTGAACACTCAGATGAACAAAGGAGAACATCTTCTCTCGGTACAATCCACTTTCCTCTTGAAAAACTTGTGTGAATACTCCTGAGTACCAAGAGGCTGCTCTGATATCAATGCCACCCTCTGTCAGATCTGATTCATAAAAGATCAGGTTCCCTTTGTGCAGCTGCTTATATGCCAGTTCTGCCAATGACTCGATCATCTTTCTGGTCTCTGGAGTCCAGTGTGAATCTGTCACAACTCCTCCATCATACTTGATGTTCTTCAGTTTGCACTGAACCACCAGAAAGTGAATATACATCTCAGTTAGGGTCTTGGGCAGCTCGCCTCCTTCTTTTGTTTTTAATACCTTCTCCAGAACTGTAGCAGAGATCCAGCAGAAGACAGGGATGTGGCACATGATGTGAAGGCTTCGTGACCTTTTGATATGGGAAATAATTCTGCTTCTCTGCTCTTCTTCACTAAATCTCTTGTGGAAATATTCCTCCTTCTCCATGTCACTGAAACCTCTAACCTCTGTCACCATGTCTACGTACTCAGGTGGGATCTGATTGGCTGCTGCAGGTCGTGTGGTTATCCAGACACGAGCAGAGGAAAGCAATTTTCCACTTATGATGTTTGTCAGTAGCACATCCAATGAGGTGGACTCTGTAACATCAGTCAGGATATCAGTTTTGTGGAAGTCCAGTGAAAGTCGAGACTCATCCAAACCATCAAAGATAAACAAAACCCTAAAATCCTGGAACCTGCAGGTTCCTTCTTCTTTCATTTCAGGAAAGAAGTGATTAACAAGTTCCACCAAACTAAACCTTTTCTCTCTCAGCACATTCAGCTCTCTGAAGGAAAATAGAAATATGAATTGGATATGCTGGTTGACTTTGCCTTCAGCCCAGTCCAAAGCAAACTTCTGTGTTAAAACTGTTTTCCCCATGCCAGCCACTCCCGTTGTCATGACTGTTCCAATTGGTTCATCTTTTTCAGTAGAGGGTTTAAATATGTCTTCTTGTTTGATTTTTGGTTCAATTCCATCTGATTTCCTGGATGCTGCTTCAATCTGTCTGACTTCATGCTCAGAGTTGACCTCTGTAAATCTCCCCTCTGTGATATAGAGCTCTGTGTAGATCTGATTCAGAAGAGTTGGATTTCCTGCTTTGGCAATCCCCTCAAACACACACTGAAACTTCTTCTTTAGACTTGATTTTAGTTTATATGGACACATGGCCCCAGAAGCTCCTAACAAGAAAAATGTTAAATTGTATTAAATTAGATCATGGTACAGGTATCTCAATTTCCCTACTTTAAACCAAAGACAAATTAGGTGACAGAAACATAATAAAAAAATGACACAAACAAAGCCACATTTATCTCTTAATGTGATGGTAGAAAATCCTTTCTTTTGGGGGGGTTTTGGTCCACATGTTAATTTTATACACATGTGATATTGAAATAATCCCAAATTTTATAAGCAAAATAATCAACTTATTGTCACTACTGAATCACTCACTAGGTGATTCAGTAAAGAATTTTACTAATAGAAAAAAATGTGATTTCTACTACCCAGACAGAAACTCTTGATATACTCTTGGATAGTATGCATAGCTAAGAAGACCTTTAAAGATGTAATGTTTTGTATAGAAGATTTTCAGCACCTCAGATTTTAATTGTCTTGGCTTGTATGTTTGTTATGAATCATCGACTGTATTAAAAACCTCTTACTGTTTTGCAGAGAGTCAGCCAGCTCTCCATGTTTCATTCGTCTCATGACCTGCAGTGTGATTTTCAGAAAAGCCTCTCTGCTCCTCCATATCTGGTCTTCATCTTCACTATTATTTATCTCCTCCTCCTTAGCTTGACTCTCCAAGCATTTTGGGTAATCTGGACTCAGCAATTTACAGAATGTATTCAGCTCATTTTTCACAAAAGTAACAATGTTCTCCTCAACAACCTGTAATACAATAATACTCGATTAAATTTCAGTTTCAGAAGCAGAAATGTATCTCTGTCAAAAGCTTTGATTCTTCATTTCACAGACCACAGTCCAAAATATATTATTATGTACCTTCAGTTGACTCCTTTCTATCTTCTTTCTAAATCTAGGGAAGAGCCATGTATACAAACTCATTCCACCCACATGTACATATTCTTTTATTCTTTTAGTTTGTTTGTAAAGTTGATGGTATAAAATGCAAAATAGTTTCACCTCAGTTCTTTCTTTACCACAACAGACTGGTGCAAAACACTGTAGACCCTGTGCCAAGCCATTTGTCAATCCCACTCTGTACTTTTCCCCTCATAAACAAAACCCAAGATACTTGAATTCCACCACTTGGGGAAACAGCTCCTCCCCAATTTGGAGTGGACACTTTCCCCCTTAAACCCTTAATAAGAAACACTGCTTTAGACTTGGTGCAAATTCTCATTCCAGCCATTTCATACTGAGTTTCAAGTAGAGGTCAATACTTGATGACACCAAAAGGGCAACATCAAAAAAAAAAAGATGTGATCCTGAAAGGTTCAGCTATGTCAATCAAGATGGCCCAACAACATCCTAAGACTTCAGGAACTCAGGGTTAAACTCATTCAGTCCCCCCCCAAGAAGGAGCCCACATTACATTACATGAAGTGTCAACCATCTGGTTGTGTAAGTGCCACCACAATAGGCCACAGCCAGTTTCCTACTGCTGACTCAGCAGTAGAAGCGTGAAAGATAGTTCATATGGACTGAATGTCCCCAGTTTTTCTCAGTGTTCTGCAAAATGCGGAAGTTGAAGATTTCCTGGATCAGGACCTCCACCACACACTCTCAGAATACACTCAAAATATGTTTTGGTGAACTAGACCAGTTAAAGTACTCTGTTTCTTTTATTTATTTACAGAGGGTTGCTTATACAGTTACTAACCAGAAATATGGAGGCCAGGTCTGTCTGATGATGGGTGGACCCCTCTGACACCGTCTGGTGACCTCTGTGGGCAAAACATGACTAAAATTATTGCTAGGGAACTGCATCAGGTTTACTGCTAGGGAGTCAAATAACACATCAGTAATGCCACTCACTAATCACCTCCAGGTCAGTAATATACGTTATGTCTTGATTTGAATTTTTTGATTGATCCAAGTAAATATTCCGGAATAATAGATTTCTGATTTGAATGAGCCGTAAGCCACAGTCATGAAAATTAAAACAAAAAGGTCATTACGTAAGTTTAGATTAGATAAAGTATTTAAAACAAAGAAAAAGGAATAAGAGAACAAAATTATTCTGTATACAAAGAGGAGACATATTCGTATACGTTACATAACAACACAACATTTTTGGTTTGGGACAAAACACATTAAAACAAATGTGCATTTAAAAAAAAATAATAGAAGCTACATTAAATGGAGCCCATGGTACTTGCCTCAGGAAGTCTGTGCTTACTGACTGACACACTTGATGGCAAGAGAAACAAACAACATAGATCTTAATACCGATCTCACAGTTATGCTAAAAACTGCTCTGCTGACTTACTCTGTAGCTGATTCTTGTTGGTTGAAACTAATCGGGTAATCCCTGGATCTCTGACTCTCCATGGATACACAGCTTTGTGAAGTTGAGTTTAATTGTTCCTGCTTAGTCCTGAAAGAAATGGACAACACAAAAAATTCAAAGGATAAGTGTTACTAGTTATGCTCCAACAATGTCATGCTCCACAAGTCTGGTGGAGCATGACATTGTTTTAAGACCTGATGCAGCTGTGAAGCGTTTGAGTTACAGGATACCAGAACACTTCCTGGTGGAGCTAAAGGAGGAGGTGGACCTCATGCTGTCTCTTGGAATCATCCAACCTTCAACAAGTGAGTGTTGCAACCCTGTTGTCTTTTATGAGCTCAACATTTATTACTTTTGTAAATATGATTTTTTTGGGTTAAATAAACGGAAACCCTATTTTTCTAATAATTCCTGTAACTCCTCCTGCTTTTTCAGCTCAGTCCATCACAATATAAATAAACAATGTTTTTAAAATTTTTAATCAATTTAATTCCATTCAATGGCTTTCAGAAATATTCACCATATACAGTTAGGCCAATATTTATTTGGATACTGGCACAAGTTTTGGTTTCTGTTTACTGAAACATATCCCAGTTGTAGTTATATAATAAACATGAACAGAAAGTATAGACTCTCAGCTTTCATTTGAGGGTATCCACATTCAAATTGGAAGAAGGATTTAGGAGTTTCAGCTCCTTACCATGTGCCACATTCTTTTTAAAAGGAACAAAAATAATTGGACAATTGACTCAAAGGCTATTTCATGGGCATGGATGGGCAATTCCTTCGTTATGTCATGTAGGATCAGTTAGGGAGATAAAAGGCCTGGAGTTGATTTGAGCCGTAGCGCTTGCATTTGGAAGATTTTGCTGTGAACAGAACATGCTGTCAAAGGAATTCTCCATTCAGGTTAACAAACCATCTTTAAGGAGTGAAAACTGATATTTAAAAAAAGCCATCCGAGAAATTGCTACAAGATTAGGAGTGACAAAATCTACAGTTTGGTACAAAAATATGGAGTCCAAGTCTGTCTGATGATAGGTGGACCCCTCTGACACTGTCTGGTGACCCCTGTGGGCACAACATGACTCATTATTGATGATTACTAAATCATGTCCCTCTTATAGTGCTAAGGAGTCAAATAACACATCAGTAATGCCACTCACTAATCACCTCCAGGTCACACTGTATTGATGCAGTAATTTGTGGTATAGGAGGTCAAAATCAGTATGGAATATTAATGAACATACTTTTCAGACATTGAGTACCATACATTATTTCTTGATTTGATTTTTTGATTGATCCAAGTAAATATTCCGAAATAATAGATTTCTGATTTGAATGAGCTATTATCCACAGTCATGAAAATTAAAACAGTCATTACATATTGAGACAGAGGCAAGTTTGGATTTTGGCTTTGTAAAGTATTTGTATTTGACATATTTGTATACATAACAGAACAACACAACATATTCAGTTTGGGACAGAACACATTAAAACAAATATGCATTAAAAAAAAAAAAAAGCATTAAATGGAGCCCATGGTACTTGCCTCAGGAAGTCTGTGCCTACTGACTGACACAGTTGATGGCAAGAGAAGCAAACAACATAGATCTTTTAATAATAATTTCACAGTTATGCTAAAAACTGCTTTGCTGACTTACTCTGTAGCTGATTCTTGTTGGTTGAAACTAATCGGGTAATCCCTGGATCTCTGGCTCTCCATGGATACACAGCTTTGTGAAGTTGAGTTTGAATGTTCCTGCTTAGTCCTGAAAGAAATGTACCATACAAAAAAGTCGCACGGGAGTTCTATAGACTTCAGTCACTGACAGGAAAATGGTAAGTGGTACTAGTTACCATACATAGCCAGACAAATTAGAGGAAAGGTACTGACCTCATACCTTATACTGTTTAGGATGTTGGAGATTTGATGTTTTACTTCATGATCACCAAGTGATTTATTACTTACTACTCATATTTTGTTATATATTACTTTGAATATTATTTTTCAACATGCTTCATGTTTTAATTCAGTTTATGGTTATACTTTTGTACTCTGGTTTGTGTGTGCTCTGAAAATGTCAAGATGTGACAACAGAAAACTAGTTTGCAAGTCAAGGTTATATACATCTGTCCAAGAATGCTACCAACATGTTTAACTGCTAACCAATGTAATGTCTTTAACATCCAAGTGAAGAGTTTTACTGAAAAAAATGAATTATTTTTTAGAGCATATTGGACATGGAGTATCAAACAATATATAACTCTGTTGATTTACTGCACTCTTATCTTTCATGATATAAATAAACATTTTTTTTAATACATTTTATTCCATTCACCGGCTTTCAGAAATATTCATTATATATAATTAGGTTCATATATATTGTGATACTGACACAAGTTTTGTTTTCTGTTTACTGAAACATATTCCAGTTAAGAACAGAAAAAACCCATCCGAGAAATTCCTTGATGCATGCTCAATCATCCAGGTAAGTAAATCTCCAAAAGCTGATTCTGTTCATCTGGATGTAGCTGACAAAGCTATATCCAAATGAACAGAATCAACTTTTGGAGACATCCAAGAAATTGCTACAATATTAGGAGTCTTCAGTTTGGTACATGCTGAGAAAGAAATAAAACACGGGTGAACTCAGCAACACAAAAAGACCTGGATATCTACAGAAGACCACATTTCCATGGTGAAGAGAAATCCTTTCACAACAACCAACCAAGTGAACAACACTCTCCAGGAGGAAGGTGTATCAATATCCAAGTCTACCATAAAGAGAAGACTACGTGAAAGTGAATACAGAGGGTTCAACTCCAAGGTGCAAGCCACTTATAAGCCTTAAGAATAGAAAGGCTAGATTGGATTCTGCTAAAAAAAAAAAAAAAGGACAAGGGACAGAATGGGACCCAAGGACCCATATAAAATAGTAAAAAGTATCACTTCAAGTATTTGGCTTTGACTGTTTCCTACATTTCTAAGTACAAATATCCCTTCTATAGTTCCCTGAATGATCAAATTCATAATAGTATATACATTATCTATATTCAGTCTCTAAAATGTCCAAAAGAGCCCAGTTGAGAGGTAAAGGATGTGCTTTTTTAGAACAAGGGACAGAACAAAAATACCCAATCCCAACCTAACAAAACATTTTCCAAAACTTTAAATCAGAGGATTTTGAGTTGAAAGAGATTTCCATCTTACCTCTCGAGGTCTGCCTGGCTGCCATGTTCCTCATTTGAGGGCAGCAGTCCCTCATCTTTTTCCTCAGACTGACTCATAGGACAGTTTTTACCTTTACAAAAAAGCCAAACCCAACATGTTCCATTATTATCAGGACTTGCTCATAACAGGGTTGTTAAATAATTTAAGGAGGTTCATTGATCCCTGGGCTCTCTGTCCTGGTCGTTGTGTCCCTGGGCAAGACACTTTACCCTACTTGCCTACTGGTGTTGGCCAGAGGGGCCGATGGCGCGATATGGCAGCCTCGCTTCTGTCAGTCTGCCCCAGGGCAGCTGTGGCTAAACTGTAGCTTGCCTCCACCAGTGTATGAATGTGAGAGTGAATGAATAGTGGTATTGTAAAGCGCTATATAAATCCAATCCATTATTATTATTATTATTAGGTTCATCTTCCTGCCCACCTTCTTAAAACCAATTACCCTCCAAGCACCATATTTTAAATCACACTGCTCATCTTTGATTTTCCCTTGCAGAAACCTATGTGCAACCCACCTCACACATGTCATTTCATCCAAGCCTCCATCTTATTTTCACCACCACCAGCATCTACCAGAGGGCCCTGCCTCAATTCCTATCACCACTGAGATTTCACTCTGTGAGGAGCCATCGGAGTCTAATCAAATCTTTATTTAATTCCTTCTAATAATCTGGCCTTATTGAACTGCCAGCGGCTGTAATCAATATTATTTGCCAGTCAAAGTCGTCATTGTTGCTACTGTTTGAATACAGTTTGAATCGATACATTCCACCATCATCTGATTAAGATAGCTAGCTATGACTGAGATGGATGATTGTAAATAACACTGATGCTCAAAAAAGGGAGGTAAAAAGAAAGCAGGATAAGTACAGTGCCAGGGCTTTGGATTTGAGCAGTGTTGTCACTGACTTTGCTAAGTGCAAAACCTAAAAGATGATGTTCTGATGGGTGAGTAGTTTGTGTTCTTTCCTGAAAGCAAACTGAAATAGTTATATGCTGAAAATATGTGCTCATATTTTAAGTACCTCCCCCCGACACCCCGGAAAGGAGATGCCTGTGCCTGTCAGCCTTGTATGCTTCCAGTAGTCCTTTTTAACCCAGCTAGTTTCACTTCCTCATAGCACTAAATTGTATGACGTGTTATCTAAGTACTATGATCACCAGGGTAGAGTTAGTCCGACAGGAAAACAACAGCGGGCCCCGATCAGTTCTTAGGTTCATACTGATGTTCACGATGTTCACACGGTGTTTGTCTGCTTTTCATTACCAGTTTAATCACGTAAATAATAATTTTTCCCGATAAAGCTTTCTAATTACGTCCTTTCGGCTATGTAGTCGAAATGGTTTTCAGTTTGCTTGGATAATAAAGACAAACTATTAGAGATATTTCCGTATTTTGTATATACTCGCTAAACGACGCCGTACACTTCGATACAGTAGAAATGAGAAGTAACCTCAGACTTGAACAACAGTTCTGCTGACCTACCTTTTATATGTTACCAGTTATCTGTTGTGGCGAAAAAGGAGAAGCGAAAGTGTGAAGTTCTGTTGAAGTCAGCTGGTTTCGTGCAGTTGAAGTCAGCTGATTAGCCTACGTGCTGTTTAAAGAGTTATTCCCTCTATATCCAATGATTGAAACGTTCGTCGAGTTTTTCAGAAAAATGCAGACTAATATAACCCTTTAGAAGAAGGAGAATAATATGGGCTACAAATAAATCATTTTCAGGCGGGGAAGCTGCTCAGTATTTCATACTCTATTTCAACATTGTATTATTGTTAAAAGCTGAATTCGTGTAAACTTAGTCAACTAATCGATTTCGGCATCAACGAGAACGACTAGGCTTGGTATCAAAATATATTCTGATAAAGCTTTACCCTGAAAATTCTGTTACAGTTATACAAAAATACGTATTTATATGTTGATAAGTGCTAATTACGATTGGCAGTGAAGGCAGCACGAGCATAGAAGCGGGTACATATATATAGCTACATACAAGCTTAAGCTTCATCTTAAAGCAGAAATGAAAAACAGAATTTAAAAATACCACGACACCGCTTCTTATTTGAAACATTAAAACTCCCGATTTTGCTAGTTTTAATGGCATAATGTTTTGTGTTTAGATCAGTCTGTGTGTTTCCATCCATTCCTCGTCCAATCGTCTTTTATCCTGCCTGGTTTCCACGTCACTTCCACGTCACGTTTCCACGTCCTACTGATCTACAGTACGGTGTTGTGCCAAAAAGTGACATTGGAAATCAGTTTTTGGCAGGCAATCACTTTTTGGCACAACAGGCAGCAGTGATCAGTGCTTGGCATATACACTGCTCAAAAAATAAAGGGAACACTTAAACAACACAATGTAACTCCAAGTCAGTCGCACTTTTGTGAAATCAAACTGTCTACATAGGAAGCAACACTGATTGACAATCAATTTCACATGGTGCTGTACAAATGGAATAGACAACAGGTGGAAATTATAGGTATTAGCAAGACATGTCCAATAAAGGAGTGGTTCTGCAGGTGACCACAGACCACTTCTCAGTACCTATGCTTTCTGGCTGATGTTTTGGACACTTTTGAATGCTGGCTGTGATTTCACTCTAGTGGAAATCACTTGAGATGGTGTTTACAAGTCACACCAGTGGCTCAGGTAGGGCAGCTCATCCAGGATGGCAGATCAATGCAAGCTGTGGCAAGAAGGTTTGCTGTGTCTGTCAGCGTAGTGTCCAGAGCATGGAGGTGCTACCAGGAGACAGGCCAGTACATCAGGAGATGTGGAGGAGGCCGTAGGAGAGCAACAACCCAGCAGCAGGACCATTACCTGCACCTTTGCGCAAGGAGGAACAGGAGGAGCACTGCCAGAGCCCAAATGACCTCCAGCAGGCCACAAACGTGCATGTGTCTGCTCAAACAGTCAGAAACAAACTCCATGAGGGCTCGACGTCCACAGGTGGGGGTTGTGCTTACAGTCCAACACTATGCAGGATGTTGGGCATTTGCCAGAGAACATAAGGATTGGCAACCTCGCCACTGGCGCTCTGTTCTTCACAGATGAAAGCAGGTTCACAATGAGCACATGTGACAGAGTCTGGAGATGAGGTGGAGAACGTTCTGCTGCTTGCAGCATCCTCCAGCATGACTGTTTGGCAGTGGGTCAGTAATGGTGTAGGGTGGCATTTCTTTGGGGGCCCGCACAGCCCTCCATGTGCTCGCCAAAGGTAGCCTGATTGCCATTATGTACCAAAATGAGATCCTCCGATCCCTTGTGAGATCATATGCTGGTGCAGTTGACCCTGAGTTCCTCCTAATGCAAGACAATGCTAGACCTCATGTGGTTGGGGTGTGTCAACAGTTCCTGCAAGAAGGCATTGATGCTATGGACTGGCCAATTCCCTAGACCTGAACCCAACTGAGCACTGTGGGACATCATGTCTCGCTCCATCCACCAATGCCACGTTACATCACAGGCTGTCCAGGAGTTGGCAGATGTTTAATCCAGGTCTGGAAGGACATCCCTCAGGAGACCATCCACCACCTCATCAGGAGCATGCCCAGGCATTATAGGGAGGTCATACAGGCATCTGGAGGCCACACACACACACTACTGGGCCTCATTTTGACTTGTTTTAAGGACATTACATTAAAGTTGGATCAGCCTGTAGTGTGTTCTTCCACTTTAATTTTGAGTGTGACTCCAAATCCAGACCTCCATGGGTTACTAAATTTAATTTCCATTAATAATTTTTGTGTTATTTTTTTGTCAGCACATTAAACTAAAGAACAAAGTATTTAATAAGAATATTTTATTCATTCAGATCTGGGATGTCTTATTGTGTTCCCTTTATTTATTTATTTTTTGAGCAGTACACACACACACACACTTCAGACCCTCAACTTTCATTTTAGACTCCCCCCCAACTATGACCAAGCATCGAGAAAACATCAGCAGCTGTTGATTATTCAACATCAAAATATTTACTGGATAATTTGTGCTATTCAGGAAGAAAGGATAAAGTCAGCTCATTGATTTGTATTGTTGCCTTCGAACATCCACCTTTCATCTGAAACACTCACCGGGAAAGACAATCTGTTATTCTAGTTAGCTATTTTTACTATCAGATATACAGGGAGTGCAGAATTATTAGGCAAGTTGTATTTTTGAGGAATAATTTTATTATTGAACAACAACCATGTTCTCAATAAACCAAAATAACTCATTAATATCAAAGCTGAATGTTTTTGGAAGTAGTTTTTAGTTTTAGGGGGATATCTGTGTGTGCAGGTGACTATTACTGTGCATAATTATTAGGCAACTTAACAAAAAACAAATATATACCCATTTCAATTATTTA